TTTATATGCTGGGAGACATAGGACGAACTCCTATTCACCCTTCAAAACCCTACCTGCACATAACCTGCTGGAGGAAGCCCTCCTCCAGCCTCCCATAAGGGTTCATGAATATAAAGTGTGACAGCCATCCTTTGTGAGCTACTGGGCATATATATTCTCACTTTTAACTACCAATCTGTCTATCTCTCCCTCCCTGCATAGGCTGAGTATTTTAAGGTGGGGGAAGCCTTAATGTCACTCACAACTTGGCTCAAATCTACACCTTAAGTGTACACCCTTGGGCATTTCATCTCCCTGAGCCTGTTTCCTCTTCTGCAAGGCAGGGATGATGCTGCCCTGGCACGAGTTTGTTCTGAGAATAAAATGAGACACTGTAGTGTATAAAGTGCATCATACAGAACTTAGGCCTGAATTCATGGCAGTTTTATTACTTGACTCCTTCGCCTGGCACATAGCAAGCACTCAGTAAATTTGTTAAAATGAAACAGTTTGAATCCCCTAACCATGTCCTCCAGTTATTGGGAAGGGTTGCCAACAACCAGACTTGCAGTGAGACAAATCTCTCTCCTCAGTGCTTGCACTGCAGGTGAGTCTTGAGGGATTCTTGCAGGAGAATGCTTTTCCTAGATCAGTGCAACCTGGGAGGTTTGTCCTGCCTCTGCCAAGAGAAGCGTCCTTGCTCCATCTGCTCCCGCTCTGTGTCCCGTGCTGATCTCAGCTGTCTGCCAGAAATAAGCTCTGCCCTTGCAGCCACTGAGAAACTGAGGCCAAGAGAAAGCTCACTGTCCTGGAGACCAGGAGATGCAAGAGTCCACTGGGAGCCCAGACGCCACATCAAAGCATCGGGTGATAATCTTCAAAATGTGTCCTTCTGAGAGGGAGAATTTGCTGGAAGTCATTAAACTCTGGGCCAGTTTAATCTAGGCAGGGTGAAGGGGACAGGGTTCTGTTAAGGTGCTGCACCCATGTGATACTTTCAGGGTGGAACCCGGCAGAGACCTCTGGGGTGGGTACTGTTTGTCTCCACGCTGAGGTCCACACTCAGGGAATCTGCCACTGTCATCTCTGCCTCTTGCAGAGATATTGGGTCCACCTACAGTAGTGCCCTGATCTGCTCTGGGCTAGAAAAAAGGCCACCGAGGCTGTTACAGTGATCGGGAAGGTGGGCCCCAGGGGCCTGACCCGGCAGCAGGGGCAACAACCTGGGGTTTACAAGAGTCCTTCAGCATTTCCGTGCCAGGGTTCTATGGACCACACTTTAAGAAACACTGAGCGGTAGCGGTGTGAAAGGAAGATGCAGGGAAGGTTTCCCGTGGCTCTAAGGCTGTGGCTCCAAGTGGCAGCGTGAAGCTCCTGCCCAAAGGGTGGCTGGTGGGGCAGTCAGAGTTTTACAGGATCTGGAACTGGGTGGGGCTCACTGGAATCTTCAAACTCGATATTATTTGCTCTAATTTAGAGACAAGAAAGTGTTGCTGGAGGTAACCCGCTTGCCCACAGCCTTTGTCGTCAGAGAAAGCAGCATCCCACCCAGGGCAACCTGATGAAGAGACAATAGTTTAGGGGTACACAACCCTCCTCCTCCCTGCACCCATCATCTCCTCCAACAACTCTGCAAGTTACACCCACCCCAGAGAAGCTGCCTAACTTGCAAGAGGTTAGAGTTCACAGGCAGCTGAAACTTAAGGGGACCCAAAACCGTCAGCTGGGTGGTCTCCCCTTAACCCTTCCTTCCTGCACGAATATCAGTGTATAAGATCCGGGTGGGGAGGGGGGTTATGCCCACCCAAGGGATACTTGGCCTTGTTCTGATTATCACAACGGAGGTGGGGAGGAAAAGAGATGCTGGCACGTAGTGGGTAGATGGTGCTAAACATCCTGGAACGCTCAGGGCACCCCTCCCACCAGCACCACAAAGAAACACGCACCCCAAATATCAGTGCTGCCTGTGGTGGGAAATTCTGAGATGACCCCACAGAACAGCATCAGGCACCAATGCACGCACACACGTGTTGCACACATACACACACACGCTAAGCATACAGACCTGCACTCCCACCCCCTGTGGATCTATGGGGAAAGGGAGAGGGCAGGGGGAAGCCCGACCCACAAATGTGCCACAGTCACCATTAACGTCATATTTATTGTTATTTAGCTGCTCAGGAAAACATATACAGGTATATACAATATGCATGAATACAGAAGACTGCACTTTACATATTTTTTTAAAAAAGAAAGAAAAAAATAACACTCAATTTCATGAGCTATTGTCACAGTCTTCCAACCAAGCATTTCAGAAATGAATTTCTTTTAAGAGTCAAAAAAGATTACAGGATTGCCTAACACACAGCAGAGTTAAGTTTTCATATTTTACATGTGCAATAACATTTTCTTTTTCTTTCCCGAAGAGTTTGCTATGCAGTACCGATTACCAGTGTTTGGAGTCTCGTGGGTTGGGTATGTTTTTAATTTGCTTTTATTCTTTCCATTAAACCAAATTTAATGAAATAACATCCTTTTGCTTAAGGCTATTTTTAAAGCTGTTCCATTCTGGGGTCACGGGGAGCGAGAAAGTTTCAAACTTCAGGGGGATCCGAGGTTGCTAGAACCATGAACTGGTGGCCACGTGCTGATGGACTCAACACAGGGAAAGTCAGAGACAGAAGTCACGACACTTGGCTCCCCGGCCTTAAGCAATTAAGGAAAATCATTCCTGTTTAAAAAATAGGATGAAGCTCTCGAATAGCTGTACACTGCAGAATCAGAGGGGGCATGGAGTTTTGCTCTATCTACGCCGATTCTCCTGCAGCCCCAGGCAGGGGGTAGATTTTCTCGGCTTTGCTTTCCTTTACAGGCAGAACACAGGAAGGGAGTCAGCTCGCACCCTCTGGCTAATAAATTCGCACCACCTGCTCTGCTCTGCCTGCCCTCTGTGGGCCCGGGTCAGCCCTTGGTCAGACTGGCCATGCCAGAACCCCGGACCATCCGGGGTCAGGCTCCAGCCAAAAAGACTGGCCAAAGGAAAAAAAGAGGAGGGAGGGGAGAGCATGTTCTGGATGCTCTCCTCCCTTTTTGCAAAGTTCTTTGAAATCAACAATGTGGGTGTTGTATGGTGAGCCCAAAGCCTTCAGGTCCTTGCTAAAAAAATAAAAGCCAGGTCTGCAAACTCCAGGGATGTGGGGGGTGGGGTGAGGGAAGCTCAAAATGGAGCATTTAGTAAGACATGCTCACCAACAAAAACTGAAATAAAGCATGAGTCACCGATATGGGTGAAGTGATAGCACTCATTTCTTGCATTTCTTGTCTGACCCACCCTGGGGTCCTAGTGCCCCCCCCACCACCCCATGAGTCATACAAGCCCTTTGTAGGCACCAACAGCACCCAAAGGTGCCGGTCCCTGCCAACATGGAGCCTCCAGTGACCACCATCTGGGAAGAGCAGCTAACAGGCCTCTGCTGGGTCCAGGAGCCTCTCTGAAGCCCTGCCAGCCTAGCCACCCATTTCTCCTCAAGGGAAACTCTTTCCTTCATGGGGTGCAAAGGAACATGGCTCTAGTTTTGCAACAAGGTGAGTTCAAATCAAAGTGGAGAGAAGTTACAGATTTAAAAATCAAAAAAAGTCCCAGTAATCAAATTCATTACTGATAGCCCCTTTCTTTCTCCTCTAGCCATCAGGCCCATCGGGAATCTGCAAACCCCTGCAAAGATATACACCCAGTCTCAGAGAAAGAGTTCTGGGGGCTGAGCTGGGCAGGGGGTCCTCCACTGAATGAACCCTTGGGAAAGTCATGGAGAAAGCCTCATCCCTCCCACGGGACGGGGGCTTGTCCAGGGTGGAGGCAGGACATTAGAAGAGGACCAGGACAGAATGAAAGAGATGGGGGACGCAGACCCTGTTCTCTCCTTCCGTCCTGAGGGTGCCAGAAACAGCTGTCTGACAAAGTCAAGGGCTAAGAATTCATCCCCCCACCCCCCAACTCCAGCACCCAAGACCCAGCCGGCCTGGCTGCAGCAGAGGCAGGAGCCTGTGCCCCGCCCCCCCAAGGCAGGAGCCCGTCCCCCCACCCCCACAGACTCTGCCGGCTGCAAGGGCAGCATCCCCCATCAGACCAGGGCTGCTTAGCAGAGCATGAAAACTCAGCCTGGGCATTTGTGCAGAGACCCAGAAAAGGAGAGAAAACACTTCTGTCGAACATTCCAGCTCCTGCCCACAGAGCGGGCTGGACACGTCATCACCTCCACTGCAGAGAGCAGCTTCCAGCAAGAGAAGGGAGCTGGAGGCTGAGTGAGTGTTTGTGAGAACAAAAATATATATCTCTATTTTCTTAGGGAACAGACAAAACAAAATCCCAGGCGGAATACCTAAGGGGGGCATTAATTGTTTGGCTCCGGCTGACTGATGACAGTTGGGTGTCAATATATAATGTTGTGATGACAATTTCACTTTCACCCGGCAATATTCCAGAACTACTATTCTCCAGGATTTCCATTTTAATAAGCAATGAACAAAGCAAAAAGAAAAAAAAAAAAAAGGTGGGGGGTGGAGGGAGAAAAGGAACAAGAATAAAAGAATAAAAGAGAATAAAAAAGGAAAGCAACTCTTGTCTTATTATGAAATAACAATACTTGGACATACAGCAGCATGAAAATAAAACAAGGAAAGAGGTCATCTAAAAAACGTATGCCAAGATTACAGAAAGTGGGGAATTATCTAGCAGGAAAGTCTTAAGCAAAAGTTTGCTAACTGCAGAAGGATTAACACTGGTAACATACTGTGGCAGAGGAGTTCCTTTCTTAAAAAAATTTTTCTGAGGTTTTTTTTTTTTTCCCTTTAAATTAACCCTTTCCGGTCCATATGCCACTAAGCAGGTACCAACCTAGAAAAAAAAAATCATCCACTCAGCAATAGTGGCCCTTTCAAATGAACAGTGGGGTGGGGTCAGGTTGAGAGGAGATGGGGGGGGGCGGGAAGGGCCTGGTGGGGGAGGTGGGTTTCTTGTCAATTCAAGTTAGGGCAGCCACGAACGTCCCGAATCTGTTGGAAATGTCAGAATGCAGGGACCGCCAGGTGGGCACGGAGGCGCGGGCCTTGGCGTCACCCACGTCGTCTGTGCAGTGAACGGACAGGCACTGCAAGTGGCTGCCAGGCTGGGTGGCCGAGGCCTTGTTCGCAGGGAGGTCATGAGCTGTGGAGAAAAGAAGGGAAGAGCAGTTAGCTGTGAGTCTGAATCGGTGGGGAGGCCCTGGCAGGGGCAGAGGCATGAGAAGAGAGGCAGTGTCCACACTTGCTTTCCACGCTGCAAGGTGGCTTGAAGGGACCTAGGTGTCCTGCCCGGAACCCACCTGCTGTGCCCTGGCACTGATGATGGGCCTCGGTTTTCCTGCTTGGGAAATAAGAAAGCTGGGCAGGGTAAACACAGGGCTTGCCCTTCTCTGATAGCATGGAGTTCTCAAAAGATTCACTGGACCTGAAGCAAGTTGGTAAGGCTTCCTGAAAGAGGAGCATCTAAACTGGGTGTAGGAGTTTGTCGGCTGCCAGGCAAACAGGGCAGAGGGCGAATCACCCAGGTCCAGAATCAACCGATTCTCTCGTCATCCTCCAGTTGTTTGCTAAAGGTCTACTCTTTGTTGGGAACTTCCCTAAACAGTGCCAAACTTCTCTGGGTGTAATGACTGAGAGCATGGATTCCCCAACCAGACCTGTATCCTTTGCCCATCCCCAACTACTGTGTGAAGGGCCCTGGGTGACAGAGTAGAGGCATCTATTGCTCCCCCACACCCTCAGTTAAAATCTCCTCGATTTTCTCCTCACTCCATTACAAAGTGCAAGAAATACCATAGGTGATAGTGACATCTGGGTTAGATACACTTGAGGAGAACAGTGCTTTGACAACCATTCAGATCTAGTATGAACTACCTAACAAGGACAGGGAAGCCAAAGGAAGGGAAGGAACTGAGCAATCATTTCAGAGGATTTCTACCTTTCTGCTGCCAAGTGATGATGGGTTCTGTTCTGAGACCTATTGAGATGTGGATGGGTGTCCCCATCATTTCTTTTTTAGTCCCAGCTCTCAGAGAAAGGTGACCTACCCAAGGTCACACAGCCAGGAAGGGACAGAGTTGGGTCTGAAGATGAGCTAAGGGTGAATTTCTGACTCAGTGCAAGTGAAAAAAAAAGCTGAAATTGGAAGTGGGGACCCAACTCCAGTTGAGGGAGCACACCCAGATACTGAACTTCATGACCTGCCTGCTCTCCACAGCACACCATACAGGCCCAGCCAGGGCCCTGTGCCAGGCAAGAGCCGCCCCACCCAGCCCGGCCTCTGGGATTAAAGAGGAGGCCTCCCCCAGGAGCTAAGCCAGAGCCTGCAGAGAAAAATCTCCCAGAGGGAAGGGCCCAGGCAGCTGAGGCCAGGCTGTGACTAACAGAGTTGGTCAACCTCCACCCTGAGGCCCAGAGACACTCAGCTTAGGGGCTGGCCATGCTGGGAGGAGCCAGGGCTAGAAAGGAAGATTCTCTCCTTTGTTTCTTCCCTCATTCAGTCAATAAACATTGTGAAGGCCCTACTGTGTACCAGGTGTGACATCAGCGCTACAGCTATAACAGGAAGCAAGACAGACACTGTCTTTCTGGAACTGACAGTGTGGTAATGAGACAGTGTCACAGCATAGTCGCTCTGGAGTCACAGAGTGGGGCTTCAATCCAAGGCTAGTCACACAGTAGGTCTTTCCTACTTTCCCTCTCTGAGCCTCGTTTCCCTCGCTGATAAAGCAGGAGTAAATAACCCTCTCCCTTGAGCACCATAATGGCCTGGCACACAGAGAGCCCCCAGACAGGGCTGCTGGGATTGTTGTTCATGTCTGGAAAGGTTAGGAGATGAGGGGTCTTGCTGCCATCTAGGAGCAGTCAAGACTCCCCACTCCTGGTGACTGGCCTGATGGGCATGTTCCTGCCATTGAGATTGAAGTCCTGGCCCCTTTTCACCAGGGGCAGCCGAGGTTCTGAGCCTGAAGTTTCAAAGCTGCTGAGGAGTGGTGGAGCTGGGAGACTTCCATGCCATGCCCAGGGCTTCCTGAGGGAAGAGACCCCAAGAAGCTTGAGACACAGACTCAAGGGTCCCCTGGCACATACAGGCCCTGGGCTCCAGCCGAGGCACAGTCCACATCTCTGTCCCCAGCACACACTTGCCTTGCTCACAGCGACACCCCACTGCATGATATCCCCAAAGGAATTCACTTCCAGGAATCGCAAGATCCGGATTGAGGTGGCGCAGCTCTGCCTGAATGAGGCGATCAGCCAGCCCAGCGATGTATGTGCCCATTTTATAGTGAGGTAACTGAACCCCCTTATCTGGCTTCTTGACTAAAGAAAGATAAGACCCAGCCAAGCTCCTGACTTCGGTTACCTTGCTCTGTGGCTACAGCAGCAGGAAGGAGACCGGAAGCTGGCATCTCCTGAGCTCTGTGCTGGGATGCAGGAGTCTCAGCGACATTTCTGAGAGCTGGGTTTGCGGAGGGATGACCCACATGGCGAAATTGCCCCAAGGTGCTTTATTCCCAAGTTACAGACAGTTCCCAGGCTTGCCACGCGTGAGTACCTGAGACAGCTGCTCTTCTCAACCTGGGTGGATTTAATGAGGGCGTGCCGCGGAGCGCTTCCGTGTGTTATCTAACGCCAACCCCCAGCCAGCTCAGCACCTGTGACTTTTCCCTATTTTTGAGGGTTCAGGGAGGGTGAGGGGCTTGTCTGACATCACAAAACAGGGTGCAGGATTCCCCAACCACCCCCATGTATGAGCAAGAGAGACAAGGGGTCTGGTATCCACAGGAAACATTTTTAAGAGAAAATATTTTTCTTCAGTTGACAACTCAAGCATGACCAAACTCATCCTCCCGCCGCTTCATTCCAGCTGGGGGGACCTAACACGCCCTAGGACCCAGGCTCCCCAAGGCTGCCGAGTGGCTGCTGCTGATAAATCAGTCCCGGAAGCCACCTCAAGTCAGGGCCTGCCCAAGCTCCGGAGAGGCCCTCAGGGACCTGATCTTTGTGGGGGTAGGCATGCCAGACCCCCCCCCCGGACCCAGAGATAAAACCTCCCCCACTCTGGGCTCCCAGGGGGCTGGAAAGCCCCTGGAGTTGCGGTACCTGGCACTGGCAGACGCCACGGAGCCTGAGGGGGTTGTGTTTTCCACTAGTTAGCCGCTGACCCCCCTGCCAGACCCCAGACCATGGCTGCCTGGGGTTTGATCTTTTCAGCAAGCCCCTCTCCCCCAGAGCAGCGGCTCAGTTGGGGCCCGTATATTGACTGGGAACTGCCCATCTCACCCCTATTTGACAGAGGGGGAGACTGAGGGTTCCAAGAGCAGGAAGCCACCCAGGGGTCACCCTGAGCCAGGTCATCAGCTATGCGGTCAGTCATCTTCTGTGCCCAGGACTCCCAGCGGGAATCTCAGGTCATGAGTGAACCCCAGATGCCTGTACTGGACAGGTGATCCCCATCTGCAGGGCCTTGGTTTCCTCATCTGCTCAGGGCAGCGTGGGAAGACCGAACAGGAGAAATGGCTGATGATGGCATGCAGGTGGGGCGCTCAGGTGGCCTCACGCCCAGGCAGGTACTTGGGGACTGAGGGGAGAGGCTGGATCAGATGGCTTACTGCCAAGGAAGGACTTCAGGGTGGTCTTTGAGGACCTTCTCCTATTGGCCAGAAGGGGCCCCCAGATGTGAAGGGGACTCCCCTGTCCTGTCTGCACCCCCTTCTCCCCCCCAACCCCCAGAGCTCCTCCACTGCCTTTTCTGTCACACGTCCTGCTGATCCAGTCTCTTCCCAGTGCCTCTCTCCACCACAGCTCTGTATTCGGCCATGTCTGTCCAGGACTTTGTACCCCACTCTCCACAAGGCTCCTCTGCTCACCCTGCTGCTGACATCAGACACCCGCGCTTCCCAGTCCACTCCAGGACAGCAAACCCCAGGAGGGGAAGGAGAGAACCGCTAGCCAGTGCCGAAAAGCGACCACGTGAATAACTAATGTGATTTCATTTCTCTCGCAGGGTTCGACAGCGATAACAGCTACCATTTGTGGAGCATAAGCCTTTGGCGCACATCATTTCAGCTCTCAGAACCTCGGTTCTAGAAAATAGGGAAAATAATAGGACTGGCCGTCATGGAGGCAGTTACGAGGATTAAGTGAAATGATCCATGTAAAGTGCTTAGCACTGCCTCGCACCGGGCGCAGCACGCTCGCGGGAGCACGCTGCCGGCTGCCGGCGGTCGCGGGGACCCACGGGACCCTGAATACTTGGCTTAGGCTTCGGTGGGGACATCGGGGGACCCTGTTGCTGCCCATGACTGGGGTGAAGGAAGGAGGCAGAGATGTGTATTTATTTACCTGGGGACACTTCTTGTTAATTTCCCTTCCGTAAATGCCACCCACGGGGAAGGGGGGCGTGGATTTTATTTCATTTTTTATAAAGTCAGCAAAATAGACCCTATTGCCACCTTGCCCTGCCCTGAAGACTCCCAAGACCGGATTCCAATCCCTGCGTGCTCAGCTCAGTGGCGCAGCTGCCAGCCCCACAGCAGCTGAGTGATGTCCCCCTGATTCTGGAAGCCACCGCTCTGTCTTCGAGCCCCGGGAAGGGGCTTCTGCCTGCCACCTCGGGTCCCTCTGGCCCATCAGAGAGAAGACCAGGGACATGAGGCAAAGGTCTTAGGGGTCAAGGGGTGCTAATGACCTGGGTTGTCAAATGCAAACCTACTTCCCAGGGCACCAGGAGGATGAAGGGACCCCAGTAGCATGATGAGCCCTCAAAACAGGGCTGCTCTTGGAACTTTTGCACTTACTGTTCTTAACATTCTAGGGGTCTGGAGGCAGCCAGAGCTAGTCCTGCCAGGGGCCAGCTTTACGCCACGGGGCAGTTTCTCCCTCTCCTTGGGTGCCAGGGGCCCACCTTGTGCCCCACCCCCACCCCCCTGCAGAGACTGAGGGAACCTGGGGTGTGATCCCGGGCAGAGCAGGAGAATTAGAATTCCGTGCATATTTTTAACTCAGAGCTTATGTAAGGAGACGTGTGGGCCCCAGAACACAATAGCAAATGACTCTCGCCTGAATCCCCCTCCCTGGATTCCGACAAAGGGAAATGTATTTTAGTTTACCCTTTATTTGGGACCTGGAGGGAGGAGATGC